TCTTATCATTTTCCTCTAATGCCTGTGCCAATTTGGCATGCAGTTCATGTCCTACATTAGAATTATTTGATCTCGGTAGCAACTGACGATTGTCTACGGAGGCACTTGAGGTAGGCAGACTACCGTAGGCAGTCCTGGGAGGAACTTCGAAGCGCCTCTGCAGAGATGCGACCTTCCCCGCTAGGTTGGCACGCTTGGCCATCGTCTCTGAGCTGACGTGCACCTCGCCCATGTCGTGGTCCTTCTCCCCGACCTCCATGTCGCTGTTGTCCTCGCACACCATCTGTAACGATAAACCAATTTAGCTCATTTTTGTACTAAAAAATTATATCTTAAAGTAAATACCTCCTACATCACTGTTTGTGATATACTTTCAGAAGGAAAGAACTAACAGCAAATACTTTAGGTAAAAACAAACATTTGCTGGTACGGCAGTAATGAATGTATCATGGGTTTGAGTCCTGGCTGAGACACACATGAGAAGGGTGTTATCCAGTGACACTCCCAAATATTATAGATTTCTTCCTGTACGAACACCTAACACTAGTGTTCACAGCAAATTAAAAAAGAACAGACCAACTGGCCCAGCAGCTAATAAACTTTTAAGTGGTGGAATGATAAATTAATAAATTAACAATATTCTTTTACTACAGGAGAAATCACAATAAAACTTAACCATTTTAACCCATTGAGTAACACATTTCTCCAACCTGAAAACAGTCTGACATTACCCATAACAAAACACCTAGAGTGATACTCCTCCTTAAAGAGATAAACAACCTGAGAGTCATACATACCACCAGGAAATGTGATTTTAAATGGCCTCCCTGTTTTCCTAAGTACCGTATTGTGTTGTATAAAACTGTACAGTATTTATTATAAACTCATAACTAATTATTACAGTGCGGTAATCTTCTTACACGATGATGTATGTTACACTGTACGGTAAATCAATAACATCTATGAACAGAAACAAATTCATTTAGTTCAGACAAACACTTCCACAGTACACTTACAGTAATACAGTATTGCATTTAATTGTAGAAAATTAGATGAACCTCACAACAACTCACCCTACTGATTCCTTCTTTGGCTCCGTATAATGTCGAACGACCTGTTGTCCTTCTCGTCCGAGGGTGGAGGAGGCGGCGGGATAATAAACGCAGAGATGTCGTACTCGTTCCCCCTCTTACGGTTCTCCGCGCACGTCTGAAGGTTCTGTAAACGGCATCGTATATACAGAACAATTCTCTATTTGTAAATAAGGGAATATCTTGGAGTTCCATGTACTGTATAGTCATCAAAATGGATAAAAACAGCAGCATTATAATGAATGCATAATCACTACATTGCTTACCACACCTCCTTCAGCTGGTGGAGGAATGGTAAGGTTTGCAATGAAGGAATCTATATCTTCGCCCTCCTCTAAGTGAATGCCGGGCTGGCGTAGGGCGGCCAAGGTGAAGCTTGGATCCCTCGCTCCTCCGTTGCCACCCAAGCTTTTGTTGACTACCGCTCCTCCGGTCAGTGGGGAGAAGACGGAGTCACTGAAGACGATGCTGATATTAAGGCTGGTCGGGGAGGTGCTGTCCTCCGTGTCACTTGCTCCTGCTGGACACGTGTAAGACGAAGCTCAAGACCCAATGCTGGTTTTTATTACAGTGACTTATCGTTATTTTACCTTATCCTTCACGTACAATTTTATTTATACAGAACACGTCCTTGATTTTAATGTATACAAGTTTGTTACCTTACAACCTGAGTTATAAATCTTTTATATCTGGTATGAATTCTACCCTTGAAAAAATCCCAAATTAATGAGTCAAAATAAGTCTCTAAGTTAATATGTCAGTGTACGATGTGGGGAGAGTGGTGTCCCTGGTGTGTGGGTAGAGAGGTCCCCCTGGTGTGTGGGTAGAGAGGTGCACTTGGTGTGTGGGTAGAGAGGTGCACCTAGTGTGTGGGTAGAGAGGTGCACCTAGTGTGTGGGTAAAGAGGTGCACCTAGTGTGTGGGTAGAGAGGTGCACCTAGTGTGTGGGTAGAGAGGTGCACCTAGTGTGTGGGTTGAGAGGTGCACCTAGTGTGTGGGTAGAGAGGTGCACCTAGTGTGTGGGTAGAGAGGTGCACCTAGTGTGTGGGTAGAGAGGTGCACCTAGTGTGTGGGTAGAGAGGTGCACCTAGTGTGTGGGTAGAGAGGTGCACCTAGTGTGTGGGTAGAGAGGTGCACCTAGTGTGTGGGTGGGGGTGCACCCTAGTGTGTGTGGGTGGGGAGGTGCACCTGGTGTGTGGAGTAGAGAGGTGCACCTGAATGTGGGTAGAGGTGCACCTGGTGTGTGTGGAGTAGAGGTGCCCTGGTTGTGTGGGTAGAGAGAGGTGCTGTTTGTGTGTAGAGAGGTGATCCTGGTGTGTGGGTGGGGGTGCTGGTGTGTGGGTAGAGAGGTGCCTAGTTGTGTGGGCAGAGAGGTGCCCTGGTTGTGTGGGTGGGGGGTGCCCTGGTGTGTGCGGCGGTGTTGTCCTGGTTGTGTGGGCAGGTGGTGCCCCTGGTGTGTGTGGGTGAGGTGCCCCTGGTGTGTGGGTGAAGAGGTGTCCTGGTGTGTGGGTGGGGTGGTGCCTGGTGTGTGGGTGGGGGTGCTGTGTGGGTGGGGGTGTCCCTGGTGTGTGGGTAGAGGTGCCCCTGGTGTGTGGAGTAAGAGGTGCCCCTGGTGTGTGGGTAAAGAGGTGCCCCTGGTGTGTGGGTAGAGAGGTGCCCCTGGTGTGTGGGTAGAGAAGTGCACCTGGTGTGTGGGTAGAGAGGTGCCCCTGGTGTGTGGGTAGAGAGGTGCCCCTGGTGTGTGGGTAGAGAAGTGCACCTGGTGTTTGGGTAGAGTGGTGTCCCTGGTGTGTGGGTAGAGTGGTGCCCCTGGTGTGTGAGGTGCACCTGGGAGTGTCAGCGGTGCACCTGGGAATGTCTGAGGTGTACCTGGGAGTGTCTGAGGTGTACCTGGGAGTGTCTGAGGTGTACCTGGGAGTGTCAGAGGAGTGCCTGGGAGTGTCAGTGGAGTACCTGGGAGTGTCGGAGGTGTACCTGGGAGTGTCAGGGGTGTACCAGGGAGTGTCAGAGGAGTACCTGGGAGTGTCATTGGAGTACCTGGGAGTGTCATTGGGCCTGGGAGTGTCAGAGGTGTACCTGGGAGTGTCAGAGAGTGCAGGGGTGTCCAGGTGTACTGCCTGGGAGCCGCCAGAGGTGTACCAGGGAGTGTCGGAGGTGTGCCAGGGAGTGTCAGAGTGTGCCTGGGAGTGTCCGGAGGTGTGGGGAGTGTCGGAGGGGTGTACCTGGGAGTGTCAGAGGTGTACCTGGGAGTGTCAGAGGTGTACCTGGGAGTGTCGGAGGTGTGCCTGGGAGTGTCGGAGGTGTCCTTGGGAGTGTCGGAGGTGTGCCTGGGAGTGTCGGAGGTGTGCCTGGGAGTGTCGGAGGTGTGCCTGGGAGTGTCGGAGGTGTGCCTGGGAGTGTCGGAGGTGTGCCTGGGAGTGTCTGAGTGCCTGTGGGGTGTGAGAGGGTGCCTGGGGTGTGAGAGAGGTGTGCCTGAGATTGTGAGAGGTGTGCCTGGGGTGTGAGAGGTGTGCCTGGGGTGTGAGAGGTGTGCACTGCCTGGGAGTGTGAGAGGTGTGCCTGGGGTGTGAGGGGTGTGCCTGGGGTGTGGGGGTGTGCCTGGGGTGTGGGGGGTGTGCCTGGGAGGGTGTGAGGTGTGCCTGGGAGTGTGAGAGGTGTGCCTGGGAGTGTGAGAGGTGTATCTGGGGAGTGTGAGAGGTGTATCTGGGAGTGTGAGGAGGTGTGCCTGGGAGGGTGTCAGGTGTGCCTGGGGAGTGTCGGAGGTGTGCCTGGGGTGTCAGAGGTGTACCTGGGGTGTCAGAGGTGTGCCTGGGGTGTCAGAGGGTGTGTACCTGGGGAGTGTCAGAGGTGTACCTGGGGTGTCAGAGGAGTGTACCTGGGGTGTCAGAGGTGTGCCTGGGAGTGTCAGGGGTGCACCTGGGAGTGTCAGGGGGTGTGCCTGGGGTGTCAGAGGTGTGCCTGGGGTGTCAGAGGTGTGCCTGGGGAGTGTCAGAGGGTGTGCCTGGGGAGTGTCAGAGGGTGTGCCTGGGGAGTGTCAGAGGTGTGCCTGGGAGTGTCGAAGGTGTACCTGGGAGTGTCAGAGGTGTGCCTGGGAGTGTCAGAGGTGTGCCTGGGGTGTCAGGGTGTACCTGGGGTGTCAGAGGTGTGCCTGGGGTGTCCAGGGTGTACCTGGGAGTCTCAGGGCATGCCTGGGAGTGTCAGAGGTGTACCTGGGAGTGTCAGATGTACCTGGGAGTGTCCAGAGAGGTGTGCCTGGGGTGTCAGAGGAGGTGTACCTGGGGAGTGTGGGGAGGTGTGCCTGGGAGTGTCAGAGGTGTGTACCTGGGAGTGTCAGAGGTGCACCTGGGAGTGTCAGAGGAGAACCAGGGAGTGTAAGAAGTGTACCTGGGAGTGTCAGTGGTGTACCACAGTAGGGTGTGTCATACGGAGGCGAATTTTTTTTTTTTGAGTTTGAAAAATCGGCCCATGGTATTAATGATGTAGTTCTATGTGCAGAATCATGTGATATCTTCAGATTTGAAAAGTTTTCATTTTTAGCTAGGTAAATTTTAACTTGAATTCTTATGAAAATTCAGTATTCCCACCCTTTTACCAACACCACTAAATAGCTTATTTAAAGTAAAGTAAATGTATCAGGTTAATTTATTAGGATGAAAATGATCCAGAATAGTGAAACGAATGATCTTGACACATTTATTAAATTTAATATTCCTTTAGAAAACAAAATCATCAAATACAAAAACCGGTTTTACTACTACGACCCGGTGTTGCTGCACACCATAGAAAACATGTCTTTCTTGCTTCTGTTTCTACTCATCACCTCTACTGACCACCTGAGCTCGGATGTAGCCTTCCCTCCTCTCCTGGCTGTACTGCGTGACTGCTGGCCTCGCTCACTTGCTGTACACAGCTATCTATACTCTGGGTGTGCGAGGGCCAGGCAGGACTATGCATGGGGTTGTCGAGCTCCTGGCTTGAACGTGGTGAGGCTGCAGGCAGGGCTCACTGCCAGCCTGGATGTTATCCAGATCTATGAGATCAGTGAGGGTCTTGGCACCTAGATTGACTTCAGGAGTCTTCCTGACCCTGAAGGAATCGTCACCAACTGATTCGTCATGCCCAGATCCTCTCATAAATCTCATATCCAAGATCTTTTTGACTGCCACTCTTCTCTCCTCCTCATCCTTACTGCAGAGCATTGTCTGCAGAACTGCCTCGGGATGAACATACCAGGAAGATCTCCTCACAGTCTGCTCCACAATCTGAACAACCTTCCTTGGCTGACTCCTCAGGAGCTCAAGCTGGAAGAGAACATGCCTCGGACCTTCGGAGAACGATGACTTGACCTTGGTGTTGAACCAATTTGGCAAGTAGACACTCACGATGAATTGGAGAATAAGTCTCAGGTTGTGAAGCTGGTTCCCTTTCAGTTTATGATGAGCGACCCAAATTCTGCAGAACCTGAGAGCCGTTGTGAGCCACCTAGAATGTGAGACTGGACCTATCTGCAGGTAAGCAAGTCTATCAGGCATGACCCCAGTTTTGATGGCACTGCAAATCATGTAACCATAGTGCTCAGTACTCAGGTCGTCAATGACAGTATGTGCAAGCTCAACGAGTGGAGGGCCAACTGTGATTTTTCAAAGCTCGGATTTATTTCTAACTCAGTGGCAGAGTCAGCATCTTGCAAGAGGACCAGACCATCTGTTGTTTGAAAGAGTCTTGCCATCCAGCTCCTGGATCAGATGTCTGAGTGGCAACTCGTTGGTGTGGAGGTCACAAACAATCCAGACCAGCTTCCCAATCTTCCTCTATCCACTGTATGACCCCCCTTGCCACCCTGTGTTCGTGTTGGTGCTGTCCTCCAATGGCCTGCAGGGTCTGGTCTACGTTCCTCTCTCTGAGCCAGTTCACAATGTTATCTGCCACTATATCTCAGCTGGTTTCCTGATGTCATCTTTCTCTGGAGTGAAATGCCACAAATACTTCCTCCTGGTTCACTGCAGCAGGAGTAGTGTTCCTCCTTCACCATGGCAGGAACAACTTGTCAGAATCTCCAACTTTCATGAACACTTTAGTGTCATCCTTCTCCCATCAAAGAACAAACAATTGATTCCATTTTCTCTTATCCCTTATCAAACTCCTCTTCTAGGTTACTGACAAGTTTCTCCTGAGCTCTCCTTACTTTGTTATGATCTATCACCAGGTGAACATCATCAGGTGTTATCAAACCACCGTCAATCCAGGCAGCTGTTGCTATCTCTGCAGTTTCTCTGAGACCAGTGTGGTGTCGCATGCTGGCCAGAGCTATGCTCGGGATATCTTTCCTATTTCGAATCTTATGCCTGGAAGGTTTGGGATCATTATTTTCTGGGTTAGGGACAAAGTCACCATTCTCCTGGTCAGCACTCGGATCAGCCATGGGGGAAGTCATTAAACTCTGAATCAGCTTGACTCCAATCATCGGCCTTTTTTACCTCACCCTGGGCCTTCTCAAGTCTCTTTTCCTCGGCAACTCTTCTCCTCTTCTGTCTCTCTGTGGCAGCCTCCTGTCTCTTGGACTCTGGAATATCTTGGCTAGAAATCATGAGAGCCCCTATACTGCCAGTCTTCTCTCTCTGTGCTTTGACAAATGCCAGTTTGATCACAGGAATCTTCAGTTCACGCTTGCAAATACAGGAGATGTGGGCCTCGGATTTACAGTCACGATCGCATCCAAACTCAGGACAGAGAACAATTGGGCACTTGGAAGTAATTATGTCAAATAACTGGTCCAGTTGCTTGGCAAAGCTG